CTCAAGCGCGGCGCCGAGCCCGAGGGCCGTACCCGGGGCCGCGGCCGCCGCAGCGGCGGCGGCGGCGGGGGATGTAATGCGCTGCTGCAGGTCTGACAGGCGCTCCTGCGCCGCGCGGCGGTCGGCCGCCATCTCCAGCAGCAGAGCCTGCGCGGCCGGGCGAGGCCGCGCGCCGCGAGCCGCGGGCGGGCGGCAGCACGGCTGAGATTGACCCGCCGAGTCCTAACAAACACTTCGAAAGGGTGCGGCTTCGTGCGCCCCAAGGCGGAACAAAGGCAAATGCATTCGGGCTCGGCCTGATGGTGGCGACTGCCTGGCAGCGTGGCGCATCCACGCGCATGCGGACGCCATGCGCATGCACATGCAAACATGCACGCATGCGGCCCCTCGCCCCCACCTTGAGTGCATCGTTCTCCGCCCGCAGCCGCGTCAGTTGCTCCCGCCCGCCCGCCGCGCCCTCCCCACGTGTCAGCTTGCGCGCGGCGGCATCCGCACGCGCAGCCTGCGCCGCGGCCGCCGCCGCGGCGAGCTCGGTGCTCTTCACCAGCAGCGCGCCGTCCTCTGACTTGCCGGCAGCGACTACGGCCTGCTTCTCCTCGGACAGACGGCGCGCCAGCTCGCGCGCAGCGGTGATCTTCGCATGCACCGCCTTCAGCTTCGACTTGTCGTCCAGCTCGGCGCCGCCGCCGCTGGTGCCCGTGGGCGCAGCGGCCTTTGCGGCGGCCGCCGCGGCGGCCTTATCAAGCTGCGCGGTGTTCAGCACCCGCGCGACACGCGCGATGCGGCGCCTGTGGGCCGGGCGCGTCATGGGAGGTGGGGCGAGGGGCGCAAGAGCGGGCGGCGTGAGGGGGCAAGGGGGTCGCGATGTGGCGCCAGGGGGCACCTGCCTCACAGCTGAAAATGATGTCATCTTGAGACAACTACTGTATTCACTGCAACGCCTTGCCTGCAAGCCAGCCAGCGGGGCATCCCACCTTGCGGGCGTCACAGCGACCCCGCCACGGCTGCAGCGCTGCCCTGCCAGGGGCCGATGCCCGAGCATTCGGCCTCCGAGAGGGGCCTGCATCACAAAATTTCTCAGCGCTTGGCGACAATCAAAGCGCAAAGCACGGCGGAAACAGGGTCAGTTTGGCCGCGGTCAGCTCGAGTGCACCACTAGATCAGGCAACTGGGTTGGCCACAGGCAGCATCCGGCAGGCACATGGTGGGTTTGGGTCACACATCTGAGCAATCTAGACAGTGCAGGACTCAATCGACGACGTCTGCCCGGGTGTCGGGGCGCTGTCGCTGGTGAGGGCCCGTCGATCGCAATGGCCCACCTTACAAGATTCCAAGATGAATTTGTAATCCCTGTTTTTTGACTGAAGCCTGCTAGAAGGACTCCTGTAGCAGCGAGTGCGCTCGTGAGACGCGTTGCCCACGCTGGTCCTCAAACCGCCTGCTCGCGCACTCAGTGCGTTTATTTTAGGTTTCGTAAATCCTTAAACGACAAGACTCCATGCAGAGGCACGGTCAGATCTTTGCAGTCACAGTCAGCAGCAGCAGCAGGAAGCACTTTGCCCATGACGTCGCACCTGGCAGCACGAGTAAGCGAGGCTACCGTATTGTAGTTGGTGGTGCGGGGTATCTGAATGTGTCTATGTAATGAATGCGGAGGCTGCAGCGGGCTAGATTACATGGCAGCAGAGTGTGTGGGCACGAACCTTGCAACACCGCAGCGCTTGCCTCAGTGCTGGCAGTGTGCATGCTCAGACACCGTCGGATGATGCCCTCAGGATGTCCTCATGTCTGCTTGCGCAGGCTTCATGCTTGGGCCGTTGCTCGCTGGCATGCATGGCCCATGGTGCAATTGGCAAGGCACTTGTCACAATCAGTGCTTGCGACACACACACAGGGGAGAGGTCACGTGTCCGCCGGCCAGGCGGCATGTGCACGCCCAGCAAGCCAAGGGCAGTTGCAGGAAGCTAATAAGCCCACGTGTCTTGGGGCAGGCACCCTTGGCGCCTGCCGAGGTCGTTTGCTGCTCAGATTGATCAGGTCCGGCGGGACACACATTGGTGCCGGGGTGACGTGGGGCGCGGTGTGACGATTCTAAGACGTTGTGCTGCTCTGAGTGGCGTGGGTGCGGATGCAGAAGCCGTGCTGCACAACGCACCTGCGCTCACGTCCCTCCGTGTTGCAGGATGGTGCCAACACGGCGGCAGGAGCAGAGGCGCGAAAAACACAAGAGGATATGTCCTCAAGAAGCCAACGCAGCGTTCCACAACCGTCAAGCATTGGATGTACCGCTGACGTTGTACACGAGGAGGCTGCAAGCGATATCATCACGGGCTGAAACGCCCTGACGACCGGGCCCCGGCTTCTGCAGGGAGCCCCGGCATGGCTGCGATCGTAGCCAGCTCGAAGGATCCGAAAGCGTCTTCGGATGGTCTTGGGCTTGAGAGCAGGCAGTATGAGGCGCTCGAGCAGGATTTCCAGGAGGTGGGCTGGTGGACCGTGTTGACCCGCGTTAGAAATCCGCTCGATGCATGTATTCATGTTATCACGCCGTGTAGCGACGGGTGGAACCCGCAGACAGTGGCGCACGGTGCAGTGGCCTGCTGCTTGGCGCTCCGCTGCTTGTGCATGGCGCACTGCTGCATGCCGCACATGACGGTGCGCATGCACCCATGCTGTGGATACGGCTGCAGGTACTCAACGAGCTTGCAGGCGACAAGAGCCTGGAGCGTTTCAGGATTGAGTACGACAAGCTCTACCGCACCCTCAAGAAGTCGCACGGTGCGACCCTATGCATGCGGCGGGCTTGGTGCTTACTGCGCGCAGCCGAGGATCGTGCAGCTGGCCACCCAGCCACCATGCCACAGAAGGCAGGTGGTCCGGCAGCTGCCGCAGAATTGTGACGCCAGGCCTGCCTGAGCCGCAGTGCCGCGGCTTTTGCCAAACTCCACCTCTCCACCATTTTTCTTGGGCCGGCGGGCATCATGAGTAGACAATGAGAAGCGCCTGGTCAAAAAATGCCGAGAGCTGAATGGAGAGATCGTCTCCAACGCTGCCAAGGCAAGCAGTGGCGGTTTGTCACGCACGTGTGCATACGTGTGCTTCGCACCGCTGAGTGTCAAGCGTGCGCCATCATCCGCTCTGGAGTTTTCGTGCGCACGCACACTTGCATGCACGCACACACAGGTGGGTGTAAGTGCATGCGCACGCAACATGCGCCGTGCCGCTTTCACAGGTGGCGACCGCCCTGAAGCTGTCGGAGGAGGACCAGGCCACCATCGCTGCCCTGAAGCGCGAGATCGAAAAGTCATGGCGCATGGTGGACGCCAGCCACGAGAAGGCGCGCGCGACTGGGCGGGCGTGGGAAGACAGGGCCGGCATGGGCAGCATTTGCAGACAGAGGCGGCAAGGCTGTGGCAGCAGGTGCTAGAGCAGTGCGGCGCGAGCCCCACAACATGTCGATGTGGATGTCTAGGCTGCGGCTGGGCGAGCGAATTGCGCCTGCCTCTGATCACCCGCCCCGTGCGCCGTGCCTGCTGGTGGCCGCGCCACAGGAGTCAAAGGCCAAGGAGTCCATTGCAGCGCTCAAGGCCGAGGTCACGCACCTGCAGGTGGGGATGAGGTGCAGGGCTACAGATAGATTCCTGCTTGGCTGTAGCTGATGTGGCCGGCCATCCCAAGCCGCACTGGGCAAGGTGGTGTGGTGCCTGGTGGCGCCACCCAGATGTACAGTCAATTTTTGGAGAGCTTTTGTGTTGTTTATCGGGGCACGGCTCTCCCTTTGCTCGATGGCGCAGCGGCTGGCAGAGGCGGGGCAGGCGCTGAGCAGCGGCGAGGAGGCGACGCTGGCGGCGCTGGTGCGGCAGAAGGAGGAGCTCACCAGGGAGCGCGACGAGCAGGCGCGTGCTGGGTCCCGGCTGCATGCCGACCCCCAGCTTTCGGATTGACCCTGTGCTAGGGTCGTACTGTTGCCACATGACATGGATGGCCCCTTGCCATTGCTGTGGTCATCATAGGATTGTGGATGCCTGCCTCGCTTGCCTGGCAATTGTGCGTGGCTGCGCTTTTCAGCGCGCAGCGTTTCAAACGCTGCGACCTGACAGGTGGACCAGATCTTGGCCATGCGGTCTGAGATGCTGGAGGTGGCGGAAAAGGTGCGGCGGCTGGAGGCCGAGAAGGAGCAGCTGGAGACCGACACATCGGCCCTCAAGCAGCAGGCAGGTTCCTGGAGGGCACAAGGGCATGGCGCGCTTCCTGCCGAGTCCGGTCGTCCGCGGGCTGGTGATGCGTGCAGTTCCACAATATCTGGGAAGGGAGCCCAGGGTTGCAGCGCCATGTGATGGTATCCAATCACCAGGTGCGCAGACATGGCCACTGGCAGCTGACTTTGCGTGCTTGCTCATTCCCCATAACACAGATCTCTGAGAAGAGGAGCGAAGCGGAGCGTGAGGGGCGCAAGCGGGAACGGCTGGAGAAGGAGGTGCGCTCACGCTGCACCGCGCGCGCGTTCGGCGCCGACATGGGTTGGTGATGCGACTCCACAAAGCTGCAGATGCGGCACAAGCGACTGCATGGGGCATGCAGGCAGGGTTGCTGGCCGCATGCTGCTCGGGCTTAAGCAGGGGTTTGCATGGAAGCAATCAGGCGGCGGTGCAATTCTTGGCAGTGGCAACACAATCGCCATGCTGTACGGTGGCCGGCCAATGTCATCTGGTCTTTGCCCAGGCGCGGGAGCTCAAGGCGTCTGTCGAGGCGCGCACGACCGAGGCACGGTCCAAGCAGGTGGAAATCCAGGCGGCAGAGGAGCAGGTGAGATGGGATGACATCTCAACCAGTGCAGCCCCTGAGTGCTGAAGCAGGGGGCGTGCGCATGATGGGTGGGGCCTGCATGCAATACAGATTTTACCAGTATCTGTCCTCCTGAGGTCCAAGATAGGGCCCAAATGGATGTCAAGAGCGCACTGTGCACCATTCCGAGCTGCGTGACGGTTCGAGCAAACTTGCGGCTCGCTGCGCTGCGCTCGCTGACAACCTTGGGGCCCGCCGCGCTCCTGACGCTCAACAGGTGGCGCGCCTCGAGGGCGGCATCAAGGAGGCGAAGGCCGCCACAGACAAGGTGCAGAAGGAGTACAACGCCCTCAGCGAAAAGGTGGGTGGTTGATTGACCAGGGGTGAAGCTCAGTGTCAGTGTGATTTGAGAGGGAAAGGGAATGATGGTGGCTGGGCGTGATGGGTTACGTGGCGCATGGACTGAGACAAAACTCTGTTGGTGGGTCCTGATACTCCACGCCTGGCATCAGAAGTGTATCACACATGACCGCGTTGACGCTGGGGCAGCCTATGCATCTCGCTTGCATCACAAGCCTGTAATCATGATCTGTCTGCAGGTGGTGAAGCTGCACCACGACCTGGAGGAGCAGGTGCACCACAATAGCCAGCTCATGGCGGACAACGGCGCCCGGCAGGTGGGTGCAACGCTCTCCTGGACACCCCTGCATGATTACCAAGTACAGAGGAGGGCATTCAAAGCTAAAGGAGCTCTGGGGCCCATGTGTCCTGTCTGTGATTGAGGATGGGCGCTGCCGTCGAAATGCGGCTGCGAGGCAGGCGGCTGTGCAGTGATTTACGCAGCTGATTGTGCCCCGCAAACGTTGGAACAGTGGTGCAAGCGCGCATGGCGTGACACCACACACTCTCCAGGTCGAGATTCGCGCGCGCGAGGAGGAGCTGGCGGTGATTCGCGCTGAGGTGGCGCGCGTCAACAAGGTGGGGGGGCAGGGGG